CACATACATACAGACTCTTATATATATATATATATATATATATATATATATATATATATATATATATATATGTGTGTGTGTGTGTGTATATATATATATATATATATATATATATATATATGGGTGTATATATATATATATATTTATATATATATATATATATATATATATATATATATATATATAGAGAGATAGAGATAGAGAATGTGTGTGTATATGTGAAATGGATTAAGTCCGAAAATTATTTAATGTGTTTTTTTTTCACGTTATTTTTATATATATATATATATATATATATATATATATATATATATTAAAAGAGAGAGAATAATATGAAGAATAAAATATAATATATATATATATACTAAACAAACTACATTATAGCCAAAAACCTTTGTGGTTTTTCTCTTTATTAAAATATACATATTTCTATCGTTGGAACGACTATAACCTTTTATATATATATATATATATATATATATATATATATATATATATATATATATATATATATATATATATATATTGCGTTAGTTATGTATTTCCATTGATATATTTCAATCCATGATCACAGGAAAATCCAGTTGTTTACGAAATAGTTATTTTCAGGATTGGCTGAAGATTAAATAATTTCTGTTTTATTTTATTTTCTGTAACATAACCTTCTATCAGATTTTTATGATTTATGATAGCCTTCACTTACAGAGGAATATTACCGGTCAAACAGGAAATAAAACACTTGGTGGTCGATTATTTTTCTTCCTTTTTTTTATTAAGCTTTATAAATACCCTTGAGCTTGCACTCGTGTCTCGATAGATGCAACGTTTTCTTATATCAGATCCTATCTTTAAGAGTGTTCTAAATAAGTCTTGGACTCAAGTTAATCTCTCCTTCATCCTCCTTTGAGATTCAGATGCATTTATGCTTCAATGTCCATTGCGATTTGTTGCCTTGGAAGATCAACTTAACTGCAGTTCATTTTTCCCATTGACGTAGAAGCAGAATCCCTGCAGAATTTGTAACCTTTTCAATGATCTTTGTCATTTATTTGGATAAAAACCTCGGGCGCTTGTTCAACTAAATCCTTTCCGAAGGTCAAAAATCGCCAGAATTGATCCGAGGTCAGAACAACGTACTGGAAAGCGAAAGGTTTTAGTTTCTATTTCAAGACTGCCGTTTCAAAAAGGCAGGTTTCGCGACCTTTTGAAAGGCAGTACTTAGGTCAGTATTGTTTCACGTTCTGGCATCGCATTCGGTAGAGTATTGGACTGGTAGCTGAACGCACTGATTTTAATTAATGACTGTCATTTTATATTGAGAACAGAAACATCCCTTTTATCATTGTATTCAAATAAGTAATTTTTTTTAATGCCATGCCTTCCACGGTGATGGCTCTCCACAGATTGCTTTTCGTTATCACCCCTTAATTACTATGATTTCTGGGTAGTGGCTATCGGCTGCTTTCTTTAAGATTTCTAGTTCATAGACGCCATTCTTTGAGACTGCTATGTGAATCTAGAGATCACAGTTTACGTTTATAGCCATATCGAGTTTAAACACCGTACCGTCACCAAAGCTACGAAACATCGATTCTGGTCATAACTCAAGTGAGTGACCGCTTGTGAACGCTGGCTCTAGTAAGCTGCTCTGCGCGTGATGTAATAGTTAATGGCTCGGAATTGTTACTCGGAGAGTAGAGTTCCATTTCATGTTGGGTTCGATATATTCATTTACGTACAAATACACTTTGGAAAGGAATGAATCCACTTCGTCTCCCCCACCAAACATAGTAAGACTTCTATCACTAAATTATTAATATTTAAAAAAAAATTTACAATCTAAACTTATTTTCTGGTTTTAAATGGGTCAAGCCTAAAAAACAAATAAATCGAATTAAATCAGATTCCGAAATTATGCTGTTTTTGAACCCATAGCTGGGAGGTAGACATAGATCCATAGGCCGTATTTTCAAAATGATTATGCCTGGCCAAATTTTATGTGATAAAAAGTACAAAAAAAAAAAAAACCCAAAAAACAAAAAAAAAACAAAAACAAAAAAAAAAAACGATTAAGGTTAAAGGGAGATAACCACAGATTCGAAGTCATTACATTATGATTGTTAACTCTCTCCTCCAATTTGCGGATAATTCTAAATAATTGATATAATGCAAAAATTCCACAATGATAAAATCAGACAATAATGATTTATAACTATTTATACTGATGCTCATGTATGCAATTACAAGTAATTCATAACAATATTTTAAATTTTGAAATCGTGATTATTTTTTACATAAAAATTATTTACAAACTGTTTTCAAATTCCGGCTCACCTGCTATCTTCTTGCGCTGCACCTATGAATTTCCCCTTACCGTTCGAGACCCACTGGTTTAGAAAATAATTTGAACTTATGTCGCCGATTCCCGGGTTCGTGCTAATAAACGATATGCCATCAGTAAATGTAAAGGTACCCGCTTTGTTTTTTTATATATATATATATATATATATATATATATATATATATATATATATATATATATATATATACTTACATGAGAAACAATATATTACTAGGTTTATATAAAAAATAAGAGTTTACTAAATCAGTGAAATTATGTAGCTAATTTTGCCGTCATTGTCATAAATATTACTTAAATAATATTGAAATAAAAAAATTTGTAACCTAATAATTTACATACTTATATTTGATGTGATAATAATTCTACAAAACTGTAAGGGAGTCTAATTACATTTAATTGTTCTTAAAAGAAATATAGTATATATTAATAAGTAAAAATATTTCAAATCGTAGTTAAATAAAAAGTATTCTAATGTAAACATCGCCCAAAAATCTTTAAATATACGAAAGGAAAAAATGCCGTAAGAATTTTTGCCGTTAACAATAAATTTAAAAAAAAATCCAGACGACATGCATATCTGTTCTCATGATAATTTTGAAGTGTAGAGCAATACAGATTTCGGGTATTCTTCTGGGATATTGTAATTCTCAACATACACATGGACAATATATATATATATATATATATATATATATTAACCCATTAATTGCCAAATTTTTAATGCGCATTTTTGGTCCAGACAGGTGTCTTAGGAGTTTATTTATTCCTTATGTTTAATTTCAGTAGTTACCATTGTCGTTTTTATAGAAGCTAGAGCATAATATATATAATATATATATATATATATATATATATATATATATATATATATATATATATATATATATATATATATGTATAAAACATCAAAAAATAATATTGATTAGAAATAATAAAAAATATTTTCAAAATAGTCATTGTTTTTCTACTCGTAAAATGTAAAATTCCGGCAGAAAGTGTCTTCTTACGGCTAATAAAAAAATTTAAAGACTAAGTGTTGTAAAATATACCTCTGCAAATGTAATTTATGTAAATACAAGGAAGTGAGTTTAATTTTAACAGATCCCCAAATGGAGCTCATGGCAGGTAATGAGTTTATGCTATTTCTCATTATGTAGGTATGTGTTACAATAGATAATGCTGAATTAATGTTCATATTTTTACTGTTATTCCTTTAACATATAAATCGCTACTATGAATTTAAATCTGTTCTATAAAGACTTTCTCATCTCATGAGAGCTGTACATATTAAAAGGAATGTATACCTATTTTTCATGCAATAAACAAAAGCATTTGATAAAATCCGGCACAAAAATCTATTTTACCTTCTAGAAAATCTTGATTTATTTTCGAAACAAATTGGAGTAATCCCGAACTTATACTTGGCGCAAACAATCTTCATATGGAGGGAAAATACATTTGCTAGGTGCCGCAAAATAGACAGAGACTTAAAACAAGAATATGTCTTTTCAGAGGATTTTCTTCAACCATTACAATTGGACAATCCTAAGAGAACTAGTATTACTACCCGGATTGATTATTGGTCGGTTCAAGGTTAATAACATAAGATATGGAGATGATACCCTTTTAATGATAGAGGTAGAAGGAAAACTACGGGAGCATCTAGGCAAAGCAGTAAAGGAAAGCTGGAAGAAAGGATTAACTATCAACTGTAAAACCACAGAATGCGAGGTTACAAAGAGGAAGAACAGCCGAAGATACGAGCAACGAAATGAAGAGATCAAAATCAATCAATATCTGGGAAAAGCTTCAAAAAGTTATCAGAAAATGTGACACTGAAATCTGGAGAGACACTGGAATATCAAAAATGCTTTCTTAAAGCTGAATATGGTAATAATAAATATAGAATTTCATTAGAAGAAAAGTATGTTGAACTGCTACATTAGGTCTTTTATATACCAGCAAATGTTAGGCAATTTCATCACAAGTGAAAAGGAGAATTGGTGTAAGAGATATGTACTCTTACATAAGGATGTTGTAAATGCCATAAACGGATGATGTAAGCGACAAGGAAGTTTTAAGAATGATGGATGCAATATATATATATATATATATATATATATATATTAAGAAAAATATAGGGAAAAACAAAAATCTGAATATGCAATTATGCTGTTTTAATGTTAATTTAATGTCGACGTCAGACGTTTCGGTCTAGTAGACCTTCTTCAGGACATATTCATAAAACATAATTAACATTAGACGATATTCAAGTCAACATGAAAAGACGATGGTCATAAGAGTAAGACTAATCAAGACAGAATAACTGAAATTTAAAAAAAAAATTCTTAAAAGATTTCAGTTATTTAGTTTTGATTAGAAGAAGAAGAAGAAGAAGAAGAAGAAGAAGAAGAAGAAGAAGAAAAGGATGAAGAAAATGCGTAGAATTTTCTGTTTCGGTAATTTTTAATGTAACCCAAACACAACTAAGCTGACATTTAAATCGGATCTCATTGCTGAGTTCATAACGCCATGAAAGAGCGTCTGTTCACGCATTGGACAGTTGGATTTCTTCCTGTCCGAAAACCGGGTATCTAGTGCTAAAGGTATCTACAGTTGGATTTCTTCCTGTCCCCAGACCGGGTATCTAGTGCTAAAGGTATCTACAGTTGGATTTCTTCCTGTCCCAAGATCGGGTATCTAGTGCTAAAGGTATCTACAGTTGGATTTCTTCCTGTCCCAAGACCGGGTATCTAGTGCTAAATGTATCTACAGTTGGATTTCTTCCTGTCCCAAGATCGGGTATCTAGTGCTAAATGTATCTACAGTTGGATTTCTTCCTGTCCCCAGACCGGGTATCTAGTGCTAAAGGTATCTACAGTTGGATTTCTTCCTGTCCCAAGACCGGGTATCTAGTGCTAAAGGTATCTACAGTTGGATTACTTCCTGTCCCCAGACCGGGTATCTAGTGCTAAAGGTATCTACAGTTGATTTCTTCCTGTCCCAAGATCGGGTATCTAGTGCTAAAGGTATCTACAGTTGATTTCTTCCTGTCCCCAGTCCGGGTATCTAGTGCTAAAGGTATCTACAGTTGGATTTCTTCCTGTCCGAAAACCGGGTATCTAGTGCTAAAAGGTATCTACAGTTGGATTTCTTCCTGTCCCCAGACCGGGTATCTAGTGCTAAAGGTATCTACAGTTGGATTTCTTCCTGTCCCAAGACCGGGTATCTAGTGCTAAATGTATCTACAGTTGGATTTCTTCCTGTCCCAAGATAGGGTATCTAGTGCTAAAGGTATCTACAGTTGGATTTCTTCCTGTCCCCAGACCGGGTATCTAGTGCTAAAGGTATCTACAGTTGGATTTCTTCCTGTCCCAAGACCGGGTATCTAGTGCTAAAGGTATCTACAGTTGGATTACTTCCTGTCCCCAGACCGGGTATCTAGTGCTAAAGGTATCTACAGTTGGATTTCTTCCTGTCCCAAGATCGGGTATCTAGTGCTAAAGGTATCTACAGTTGGATTTCTTCCTGTCCCCAGACCGGGTATCTAGTGCTAAAGGTATCTACAGTTGGATTTCTTCCTGTCCCAAGACCGGGTATCTAGTGCTAAAGGTATCTACAGTTGGATTACTTCCTGTCCCCAGACCGGGTATCTAGTGCTAAAGGTATCTACAGTTGGATTTGTTCCTGTCCCAAGTTCGGGTATCTAGTGCTAAAGGTATCTACAGTTGGATTTCTTCCTGTCCCCAGACCGTGTATCTAGTGCTAAAAGGTATCTACAGTTGATTTCTTCCTGTCCCAAGTTCGGGTATCTAGTGCTAAAGGTATCTACAGTTGATTTCTTCCTGTCCCAAGACCGGGTATCTAGTGCTAAAGGTATCTACAGTTGGATTTCTTCCTGTCCCAAGACCGGGTATCTAGTGCTAAAGGTATCTACAGTTGGATTTCTTCCTGTCCCAAGATCGGGTATCTAGTGCTAAAGGTATCTACAGTTGATTTCTTCCTGTCCCCAGACCGGGTATCTAGTGCTAAAGGTATCTACAGTTGGATTTCTTCCTGTCCCAAGATCGGGTATCTAGTGCTAAAGGTATCTACAGTTGATTTCTTCCTGTCCCCAGACCGGGTATCTAGTGCTAAAAGGTATCTACAGTTGATTTCTTCCTGTCCCAAGACCGGGTATCTAGTGCTAAAGGTATCTACAGTTGGATTACTTCCTGTCCCCAGACCGGGTATCTAGTGCTAAAGGTATCTACAGTTGGATTTGTTCCTGTCCCAAGTTCGGGTATCTAGTGCTAAAGGTATCTACAGTTGGATTTCTTCCTGTCCCAAGACCGGGTATCTAGTGCTAAAGGTATCTACAGTTGGATTTCTTCCTGTCCCAAGACCGGGTATCTAGTGCTAAAGGTATCTACAGTTGGATTTCTTCCTGTCCCAAGATCGGGTATCTAGTGCTAAAAAGGTATCTACAGTTGGATTTCTTCCTGTCCCCAGACCGGGTATCTAGTGCTAAAAGGTATCTACAGTTGGATTTCTTCCTGTCCCCAGACCGGGTATCTAGTGCTAAAAGGTATCTACAGTTGGATTTCTTCCTGTCCCAAGATCGGGTATCTAGTGCTAAAGGTATCTACAGTTGGATTTCTTCCTGTCCCCAGACCGGGTATCTAGTGCTAAAGGTATCTACAGTTGGATTTCTTCCTGTCCCAAGACCGGCATCTAGTGCTAAAGGTATCTACAGTTGATTTCTTCCTGTCCCAAGATCGGGTATCTAGTGCTAAAGGTATCTACAGTTGGATTTCTTCCTGTCCCCAGACCGGGTATCTAGTGCTAAAGGTATCTACAGTTGATTTCTTCCTGTCCCAAGATCGGGTATCTAGTGCTAAAGGTATCTACAGTTGGATTTCTTCCTGTCCCCAGACCGGGTATCTAGTGCTAAAGGTATCTACAGTTGGATTTCTTCCTGTCCCCAGACCGGGTATCTAGTGCTAAAGGTATCTACAGTTGGATTTCTTCCTGTCCCAAGATCGGGTATCTAGTGCTAAAGGTATCTACAGTTGGATTTCTTCCTGTCCCCAGACCGGGTATCTAGTGCTAAAGGTATCTAAAACGTTTCGATGCCTTCCGGTTAAGCCTCATAAAACTTTTCTTTTTTTTTTAAATCAATGTTTAGGATACTAGCTTAAATTCGTCAGGATGAGTACATTTTCTTTGTCTCTGCTTCACAAAGTATTAATTGCCCAAACAATAAGCAAATTCCTCACCTCGAAAATAAGAGGGAAGCGTGAACATTCAAATAATAACCGGCAATGCGAATTAATCTCCTACAATGCTATGGCTTATGTGTTCATCATCATATCCTTGTGACCATTTTTATCAAGCCTACGCAAGCTTCTTTATGGAAACAGAAATAATGCTTATGGAGTTTCAATGGAGTTGTCTTGTTATATAAATATACAGATTAATATATTATTAATATATGTATTTGGGCATAGGTGCTTGGATATAAGTGGGAGTTTCATAGATAACGGTTCAGAATGAAAAATTGGAGATCTCAATTCGAGCTCATTGCATTCATTTACGCACCAAATCCTTTCCTCCCACCAGCTATGTGTTAAATAGCATGGCAGGCTGAGTCCTACAGCCTTGGTTGGCAAACATCCCACCCCAGAAAATAACGGCAGCCTACTTCGGGAATAACTCTGCCAAATAGAAAAATATACATGGTTACCCAAGCGTGTTTCTTGCATGTCGCGTAAGGGAGGAAGGAATAAATGGGGCAAGGAAGGAAGGAACGAAAGAATATGTGTATTCCATATCCTTATTCTCTTGTTCTTCTTTTATAGGTGTGATGCACAGCCGTTTTATTTTTCTACATCGAACACTGGCGAGAGAGGCACGAGAGACGTCGTGCTTTTTTTCCTATTTCCCTCTCTTATCGTGATTGTATTTTTTTCTTTGTCCGCGTTTCCTCTCTTGTTAACATATTACACATTTCCTTTTTACAGCATCTCTTAAAGGGTGAAGTTGTTTTCATTATGCGACGACGGGTGGTAAACTTTTATTAATAATTCTCTGGTGTACTTAGCTCATCAGATGAACATGATGGATTTCTCTTACGTTCTAGTGGGTTGCATGCTTGTGAAAATCGCTAGAACATTTTGGGAAGCAATCTCACCAAATCTTCGCATTAGAATCAGTCAGAATTCTTTCACAGAATTCTGAATAATTACGCTGGCAGATGCGGTAACAGTTCTGTAATATAGGGTAGTGAAAGCAAAAAAAAAGAAAAAAAAAGAAAGAGTACTCTTTATTGAATAAGTGAGAAAACTGTTTTAATTAAGAAACACCAAGAGTTTTGAGAGTAACACAATTAGAAGGTTAGGTTTATTAATGACATATCTACTCTTTTGTGATTTATGTTCTAAACATTGAGCCTAAATTTAGTTATTTCTAGATAATGCATGATTCGAAATAATATTTTCAAAGATTTTTTTTATCTGACATTATGACTTTTATTAGTAAAATTATTTATAAGTACAGTGTACAAATCAAAAGATTTAAAAATGACAACGTTTTCCATTTCGCTGAAACATACTTTAAATTCTTTTACATTCCCTTCTCTTTTCTTTTTTTCTGATTTTCATTTTCTCACTGAAACCAAGTAGCGTCTCTGATATATCAGTTCCACATTTTCACACGCCCAAAACGAAATAGTCTATTATTTATGAAGTACTGGTAGGAACGAACGGTCGTGCAAAATAAGGAACTAACTAAGCAAAATAATAAAAGAGATTAATATAAAACTTATTTTTAGTGATTTGAGTTTGCGATCCAGTTTTTTTTTTTATTTTATTTTATCCAACAGTGAAATTAATAGCAACCAGCCTTCGTCCTGGGTATGACAATAAACTACATCCGGCAGCAAAACGTCTGATCGGGAGGTTTTGAGGAGCGTGGAACCACATCTTAATTGTTGTTATTCCAAGATTCACCCTGACCCGGAGTGGTAGCTCCTGTTAGGGTCCCAGCTATGGGTAAATAGGAAAACGCCAAAATGAAGTCAAAACATTATGACAATATAAATGTATATTTTTATAGCAAAAACAAAAAAAAAAACAACAAAAAAAAACAGTAATATATTTTCATAGTAAAAATTAAAAGCAATATATTTTTGAAAAAAAATTTCCTAAAGCTAGGAAGAAAATTAAACTTCCGCATTAAATGACCCATATGCCGTTCGACAAAAAACAAACCAACCAACAAACGGCCTTAAATTGATACATTTTACTAAAAAAAAAAAAAAAGAAAGAAATTGTACCTCCAGCAGAAATCGAACCTGCATACTTTCATCTCGGGGGAATAAAAAACTCCATTCACTAAAGTACACTTCTACCAGTTTGACTATGAAAGCAGATTGATTAGGGAGTTAGAATTGCATGTCAAAGAAAGATAAAAAAGTGTACCCATATATTTAAATTCTTTTTAATGAAAAATGAATGGAAATGTAAACGCTGGTCGTATTTATACTTGAATGAGTTATTTGGTAAACAGTGGTCGGCACTATTACACTTTCACATCCGCGCTAAAAAGTAAAACACAACCAGATAAATTTATAAAATGAAAACAGTTCTTTTTTTTAAGTTTAACTTCATAAAATTAATTTAAAACAACAACAGTTGGACTGTTGCAATTATTGATTATTAAATTTAATCTACAAACACTAGCAAACGTTTAAAAAAACCCTGTAAATGTTTTTTCTACTGTCAGAATGCTCTAAAATGAAAATCAGAAAAATAAAGAAATGAAATGTATTTAAAATCCACAAATTATGAAACATATATTAAGAAAAAAGGGAAATCTATACGTATTTTATTTACATTATTCGGACAATTGCCTTCATCTTTGTCGCCATATTTATTACAACGTTTCGACCGTTGTACGCTCCGGCCTTCTTCCGGGGTAGACAGTTCTAGTTCCACGTGCCATGTTTGACGGATATGACTTATCAGTCATCTCCTGTTAATTTCCCTCTGAAATACCCAGATGTCCTCAAGAACACATGGCACAGTGGATAAAGGCGTCGGTTAGATCCAGTGACAGGACCCAAAGAGTGTGAGTTCAATACTTCAGGTGGTTGGAATGTCGAACTGAACCCTTTATTTCGCTCACTGGGGTAGACTGTTCTAGTTCTACGTGCCATATTTAATTTATGTCAGTTATCTCCTGTTAATTTCCCCCTCATGGCACAGTGGATAAAGTCGTTAGTTAGTGACAGGCCCCAAAAAGTGTGAGTTCAATACCCGGTTAGGGCAGTGAAGAAATTGGAGAGGGGAGTTAACAACTGACATCCATTAAACATTTCCCTCTGAAAGTTCTCCACTGCCTTAACCGGTTATTAAACTCACACTCTTTGGGTCCTTTCACTGGATCTAACCAACGTTTTTATCCACTGTGCCATGTTGTCAGAAATATAGACAGTTGCTATTCGTATTTGTGTATTTTTTTAAACTAAAAAAAGAACTGAAGACCAAAAAAAATAACATTGCGTGGCTGACAGTGTTATGGGGTTGTGAAAGTTTAATAGCGCCTTGTGATCGTGTTTCAGTACAAGTCATAAGTTAAACATTCTTCCTTAGATAACAAGTAAATATTCAGGATATACAGGAGTGAAAACTAAACATTGGCCATGTGTGACGTCGTCCCCCGGTCGCAGCGCCAACTGTGACGTTCTATCCTGATCTACCACGGCGCCAGTTGTGACGTCCCCAAACAGCACCAATTTTGACGTCCTCGCCGCGGCGCCAGCTGTTCGCTCCTCGCTGCTCCGTCCGGGTGTCGCTGCTCCAAACGTGACGTCCGCCTGTCGCGTCAGTCGTGTTGTCTCGTCCTGTGACGACCAACTGGCTTGGTATCGGTCGCGGCACCCAAATGTGACGTTCTAACCTTTTGGTGATTCGGGTGGGAATCTGGTTAGATTTGATATCAGCCTCGTCGTTCCCAACTCGCTTCCAACGCCTGGTTACCATAGAACTGCATTGATCTCCAGTCTGCCTACTCACGTTGTGAATTGATCTTAGACAGACGAGATCAAACAGAGGTTGGGGCCGTAATGCAAATTGAGTTCAACGGGGGTGATACTACACAAATATGCATAAAAGAAAATAAAATGAAAACTCAAAAGTTCAAAGTATCAAAAAAAAAGGTAACAAACTTTATGTCTAGTTGTTCGATACATAGGACTGCATCTATCTCCCGACCCGTTCTGTGGATTGTGATACGTCGTTTTCGCTAGGCAAGTTTTAACGCTTCAAGTTGTCTGCTCTCTAAGAAATTTGTGTTTCGGTGTGTCTTTGGACGAAAGTCGAAAAAACTTATTTCGGTGGTCTGGTTCTAAGTCGCTCTTCAAAATAATTGTTCTTGGGTTGAAGAGGAGTCCGGAATTTTTGCGTGAATCTTGGTCAGCTATCTCGAGGCAGCTTCAACTGGAGACTGACTCTGGGAACTCAACTCTGGAAACTCGAGCCCGAACTGATTTCTGCCTGTTGGGGCCTCGCTTTTATCGACGCCGACCACAACCGGGTTGGGTCTGTTGGCGTCGGGGGGTTCCTCGATAATTCTAAATACATATCCACCTCTTTTATTTCTGGTTAGGGATTTTCCCTCTTTTCCATTTTTGGGAACCTTTCCTCACTCCCACTTTCTCACCATACCTCTGAGGGGCGTGAACTGCCCTCCCCACTTCTTTGTAGCAGCTTCTCATACTTATACTCTGGATGGGGCGTCGACAGCCTTCTTCGTGCGTCACGTAATCACCACTCGGCCAATGAGGTCTTGGTCGGGTATCTTTCCTCCTCCTTCGTGCGTCACGTGACCACCACTTGACCAATGATGTCTTAGTCGGGCGTGAACAATCCGTGGCTTTGTTTCGGGAAAAAAAAATATCTTGCTTAACTAAAAAAAAAAAATATCTCTTCTCTTTCCCT